GAAAGACCCCGGTGGCACCGCCCGCATGCGTCGTCCACCACCCAGTACAGCGTTTCGCGGCCCCATTGATTTGGAACCCCACCAAGCCCCAGTGGCACCGCCCGCATGCGTCCCCCTTCCCAGTACAGCGTTTCTTGGCCCCGTAGGGAGCTCCAGTGGCCACCGAAGGCCCCAGTGGCAACGCCCGCATGCGTCCCCCCTTCAGTGGCGCTATAAGGAGCTCCACCGAAGGTCCGAGTGGCACCGCCTGCATGCGTCGGCCACCACCCAGTGCAGCGTTTCGTGGCCCCGTAGGGAGCTCCACAGAAAGACCCCAGCGGCACCGCCCGCATGCGTTTCTCCCAACCAATACAGCGTTTCGTCGCCTCATGCCCTGGACCCAGCCCCCCTCGCGCTGGACCCTTTAGTTTCGTTTGTCGTCGTCCCCCTGGTCCTGGTCCTGGCCCTGCAGCCAGCCTCCCTCCTTGACCTGGCCCCAACCGCCCTCGCCCCCCTGGTCCTGGCACTGGACCCAGCCTACCCCGCTGGTCGTTGCCCCAGCCCTCGCCCCGCTGGCCCTGTCCTTAGACCCAGCCTTCCCACTTGGCCCAGCCTCGAAAATCTATCGCGCTTCAGCTGCCAACAAACTCATTCGAGCAGGTCCCAATCGATAACCGCTGATTCAGCACCGGGGCGCCCTGGCCCCACCTGCCCTTTTTCCTCCTCATCCTTCTTGTTTCCTCGATCCCCCCACCTGCGTCTCCTCCTCCTCCTCCTCCTCCTTCTCTCCTCGTATGCGCAAGAGCCAGAGCACGCGTGCCACTTGTTCTGGCGAAGGGCCCGACCATGTGCGGATGCGAGTGTCGCGAGGCAGGTGGGGCCTTTCGGTGGAGTTATTCGTGGAGCCGCGAAACGTGTGAGGTGTGTGCCGACTGGGTGGCGGGGGCGCCTGGAATGCACCACAATGGCTGGCGGGGACGCATGCGAAGACCGCCTTTGGGAGACTTCGGTGGAGTTCCTCATGGAGCCATGAGCCGTGTGAAGGGAATGCCGAAGTGGGCGGCGGGGACGCTTGCGAACACCGCCGCTGGGGCCCTTGGTGGAGCATCCGATGGGGCCACGAAACATGTGAGGGGTGTGCCAGAATGTGTGTCTGGGACGCATGTGAACACCGCCATTGGGGGCCTTCGGTGGCGTTCCCCATGGAGCCACGAAGCGTGTGAGGGATGTGCAGAAACGGGTAGCGGGGACGCGTGCGAACACCGCCACTGGGGCCTTCGGTGGAGCTCCCGATGGGGCCGCAAAGTGTGTGATGGGTGTGCCGAAATGGATGGTTTGGACGCATGCGAACACCACCCTTGGGTCCTTCGATGGACTTCCTTCTGGGGCCACGAAGCGTGTGAGGAGTGAGCTGGAATGGTTGGCAGGGGCGCATGCGAACACCGCCATTGGAGCCTTCTGGGGGATCTCCCTACGGGGCCACGAAACGTATGAGGGGTGTGCCGAAATGGGTGGCGGGGTCGCGTGTGAACACCGCCACTGGGGTCTTCGGTGGAATCTTCCACGGGATCGCGAGACGTGTGAGGGGTGTCCCGAACCAGGTGCGGGGACGCATGCGAACACCGCCTGCGGGGCCGTCGGTGGAGATCCCTTCGGGGTCACGAAGCGTGTGAGGGTGTGCCAAAATAGACATGCGGAGGGCGGAGGCAGGGATGGGAGCAGGGGGCAGCAGGAGGAGTGGAACGCGGCGCTGTCTCTTCAAAACGAGGACCCAACTCCACAGGATGGTTGGGACAAAAATCATTAGCATCATCATCACCACTACCATCATTATCATCATCGTCCTCATCATCACCACCATGATCAGCATCATACTTTCCATCCTTATTTGAGGGAGTTTCTGTGGAACTCACGTCATCCTCACCCCCGGCGCGAAGAGCACGAGCCCAGAGCGGCCTCCGGCACCGTTTCCGGACGGATCCGCTGGATCCGCTGGATCCGCTGGATCCGGTGACGAATCCCAAACCGGCGCCCTCGCCTGAGACATCCTCACAAAACGGGCCCCGGGGGGGATGCCCAGAGGAGCCCAGAGCGGCCTCCGGCACCGTTTCCGGACGGATCCGCTGGATCCGCTGGATCCGCTGGATCCGACGAATCCCAAACCGGCGCCCTCGCCTGAGACATCCTCACAAAACGGGCCCCGGGGGGGATGCCCAGAGGAGCCCAGAGCGGCCTCCGGCACCGTTCCGCTGGATCCGCTGGATCCGCTGGATCCGCTGGATCCGGTGACGAATCCCAAACCGGCGCCCTCGCCTGAGACATCCTCACAAAACGGGCCCCGGGGGGGATGCCCAGAGCCCAGACATTCATTTCCGCAACTTTATTGCGGAATAGTCGTTGCCTTACAAAAAAACAAAGTTCCGCATTTCCTCTTTTTTTCTTGTATGAAAACATGGTTCCGCAATTCCGCTGTTTTTTTGTTAATGTGCGATGTTGTTGGTCATTACCTATCATATCTTGCACAGTGTAGCAGAATAACTGGCATAGCACAGCGTATCATAGCGCAGCGTAAGAGGAGGAGGAAGAGGAGGAGGAGGAGGAGGAGGAGGAAGAAGAGGAGGAGCAGGAGGAGGAGGAGGAGGAGGGCCTCCTCCTCCTCCTTTCCTCCTCTTCCTCCTTCTCCTGTTCCTCTTCTTCCTCCTCCTCCTCTTCCCCCCCCCTCCTCCTCCTCCCTCCTCCTCCGCCTCCTCCTCCTCCTCCTCCTCCTCCTCCTCCTTCTCCTCCTCATCCTTCCCCCACCCCCCTCCTCCTCCTCCTCCTCCTCCTTCCTCCTCCTCCCTCCTCGTTCCTCGGGGCATGTCGCAAACGCAAACGGAGGGTTGCGTCTTTTCCAGCTCTGCGCATGCGTTCTGCGGCAAGGGGGGCTGCCTCGCCCGAGCTGTACTCGAGCTAGCTGCCGAGTTCGCGGCAAGGAAATCATCCTTTGCCTTCACGGCGTAACGCAGATCAGCCTCGAAGGGCAAATTATTATCCTCCTCCTCCTCCTCCTCCTCCTCCTCCTCCTCCTCCTTCCCCCTCGCCTTACTCCTCCTTATTTTCCTCCTCCTCCTCCTCCTCCTTCTCCTCTTCCATGCTCCTCCCACTCCTCCTCATCCTCCTCCTCCTTCCTCTTCCTACCCGTCTCTGTCTGTACGTCGTTCTCGGGATTTTGGGCCAGGCGCTGGTGGAAAACATCGATCGCAGCCGCCACGTGGGGCTTAATATCGGCACGAATGTGCATATCCATCACGTCTTAAGCATTGATAAGCCGATGCACGAGCAATTGCTCGCGCATCGGCTTATCAATGCCCTCGAGGGTTCGCCTGGCTCGCTCCTCAGGCGTGATCGCGTACGCTCTCCCACCGATGATGTCTAAATGCGTAGTCTGGTAGTCGTAGTCCACTGGAACCCTTGGATACCGAACGTAGTGACGAGCAGGGTGGTCGATAAGTTCCAATTCCTCAGTCTCTCTCTCTCTCTCTCTCTCTCTCTCTCGAAAATTATCTTGTTTTCTCTCTCTCTCTCTCTCTCGTCCTATCCTCCTTCATCCTATATCCTCCAATCGGTCCTGGTAGGTCACTCCACGCGTGAGGAGCACGCCATGGCGATCCTTCCATTGCAAGTGCCAACCGAAAAACGGGCAGTACACTGGATTGATATCGGCATCGATGAGGGGCTCGGGCTCATCGGGCCCTGGCTCGGTTTCGGAGCTCGCGTCAGAAAGCTTCATGGCTGGAGATGCCTGATCCTTCACGGCCCCCGCGGATGAGGACTGACTTCGCGGACGGGGCAGGGGTTCAGATGAAGGTGGGGCGGGAGGTGAGGTAGGGGAGGTGGATGAGGAGGCGGAGGAGAAGGAGGAGGAGGAGGAGCAGGGGAAGGCAGGAGGAGGGGGAGGAGGAGGAGGAGGAGGAGGAGGAGGGGGAGGAGGAGGAGGAGGAGGAGGAGGAGGAGGAGGAGGAGGAGGGGAGGCCAGTCTTCCTCTGTTTCTGCCTCCTCCTCTGGCGGCTCGGGCGGTCGAGCGAGCGGTCAGCTCGCTCGGTAGCTTGGATCCGTCACGCGATGCGAACCCGAGGCGGAAGGTGAGGAGAAAAATGTGGAGGAGGGGAAGGATGAGGAGGAGGAGGAGGAGGGGAAGGATGAGGATGACGAGGAGGATGAAGAGGAGGGGAGGAAGAACTTCGCATCACGTGGCGAAATCCTTCTGCCTACTCGAGGCTCAGATGCCGATAACGCAGCACATCACGTAGCCATCGCCTCGGCTGGGATTTGATTTCGTCAATTTCCTCCTTGTCCTCCTCTTCCTGCTCCTCTTCCTGCTCCTGCTCCTGCTCCTGCTCCTCCTCCTCCTCCTCCTCCTCCTCCTCCTCCTCCTCCTCCATCCCGCCGCCGCTGATCGCGACGGCTACGACGGCGACGACGACGACAACGACCGCGACGACGGCCCAGGGGCCAATGATCTTGCCGGGGCTTCCACCCAGGGTTCTTCTTGCAAGGTCTACCCAAAGGAATTGGCCCCCAGCGTGGCCTTGGCCGCCCTTGACTGAGCCCACCTCAGCAGCGACGTCTGGTCTGCGTCGGTGGACTTCTCGCACAACCGCCTCTTCTTCACGCTAGTGATCCCCTCCTGCTGCTTTGCTGCCGTCCAAGCGTCGAATATTGCCTTGCAGTAGGCAGGGGGGTAGTGCTCCGTGGACTTCAGCTTCTGAAGGGGCGGCGGGGGGAGAATTAGGAGGACGGAGGGGAGGAGGAGGAGGAGGAGGAAGGAGGAGGAGGAGGAGGAGGAGGACGAGGACGAGGAGGAGGACGAGGAGGATGAAATGGATGAGGAGAAGGGAGAGGAGGAGGAGAAGGAGGACGAGGAAGGGGAGGAGGAGGACGGGAAGAGAGGAGGAGGAGGAGGAGGAGGAGGAGGAGGAGGAGGAGGAGGACTACGAGATAGGTCGGTACTGTTTTCCCAGACGGTCCTTTCCAAACACCACCCAGCCCTCCTTGGTTACCGAGTGGAACTCCTTTTTCTCTGCCTCAGACAGAACGGGCTTAGGCTTCTTCGTCTCGAACATGTGGTGGACACTCTTGGGCAGCGTCGTGGCCAAGTGGATGGCTTTCGGGATGGTTTTGTTGTCCGTGTATGCCCCAAGATAAGTCAGGGCCTGTTTGGCAGCACACACGTCCAGCATGACCTCTATCGCTGGCCACGAAAAGAGACGGCTTTGCACGGGTTTCTCCAGTATGAAGTAGACGCCACGGCAATTGCATAAACCCATGAGCCATGCAGTGACGTTGGCGGAAAGGTTGGCCTCCCTGACCTTGGGCTTCTCCTGCCCCTCCCATGGGGCAACAGGGAGCAGGATCGGGATAACAAGACGGGAGGAGGAGGAGGAGCTCCGAGCTGCGGTCTCCTCCTCCTCCTCCTCCTCTTCTTCGCCCTCCCTCACCCTCCTCCTCCCAAGCATCATCCTACCCTAGCTAATGTTCCTCCTCCTCCTCCTCCTCCTCCTCCTCCTCCTCCCCCTCCTCCTCCATTGCTTCCTCCTCCTCCTCCCTCTTCAATCCGCCGTCTGTCCTCGAAACCAAAGATGTTCTCGTTGCTCCTGCCGTACGTGGCATTGCTGGTGTAGCCGAGCCACGTGGAGCATTCCAAACCGACGTGCATGAGCCCGTTCTCCTTCAGGCGGAGGCAGAGGGTGCCCACGTAGATCATCCCAGCCAACGTTGTCAAATCCTGGCGAGAGGGATGGGGGGCTAGAGGAGGACACGGTGATGATGATGGGGAGGAGGAGGAGGAGATAGCTGGGGAGAGGAGGGAGATAATCAGAAGGCGGAGGAGGAGGAGGTGGAGGAGGAGGAGGGGGAGGATGAGGAGGGGGAGGGGGGGGGTGGGGGGGGGGGGGGGGGGGAGGAGGAGGAGGAGGAGGGAGGAGGATCTGTCCTGAGTGGCAAAATGGGCCAAAGGACGGGCGATGAGTCTCCCAATGACCCCCCAATGAACTCCCAATGAACCCCAATGAGTTTTCGTCGAAACCCTGGGTTTTCCAATGATTTTCACTGGGCGTGCCAAATATCCCCCGTTGGTTGCCAACGGTCCTCGGTCTCATGCCGCGTGCCGCGGTCGAACTCCCTGGTGATGCACCCGTTCTCTCTGAAGACCAGCGCCTGGTTCCCGCTGCCGCTGCAGACCTCGAAATCGGCGCGAAGCAAGGCAGATAGATGGAGGCAGGGTGGGGAGGACGATGAGGAGGAGGATGAGGAGGAGTAGGAGGAGGAAGAGGAGGAGGAGAACAACGAGGAGGGGAGAAAGGAGGAGGAGGAGGAGGAACGAGGAGGTGATATGAACAGCGCACGGGAAAGAGACAGGGAAAGCGACGTAAGAGGAGGAAGAGGAGGATAACCAAGAGAAGGAGGAGGAGCAGGGAAAATGAGGATGAGGAGAATGAGGATGAGGAGGAGGGGGAGGAGGAGGATGACGAGGAGGAGGATAAGGAGGAGGAGGAGGAGAAGGAACGAACGACATCGAGATGGCAACATGAAAATGCAAGGGGGCCTCCAGGAAGTCCAGGTCGCGGACGGTGTGCGGCATGTGATCGTTCACGATTGCAGACGCTTTGTCGAGCAGCTCGAAATCGCTCCAATCTGGCTGCTGCCTCAGGTAGGCGGTGGCGAGCTTCATAATGCACGTGGGGACCCCGAGGTGACCGCCTGGCGAGGCAGCGAGCGAAAGACGAAGAAGGGGACGGGGTCTGCGATGACGAGAGGAGAAGGAGGAGGAGGATGAGGAGGAGGAATCGCAGAAGCAGCAGCAGGAGAAGGGGGAGGAGGAGGAGGAGGTGGAGGAGGAGGAGTGACCTGGGGAAGAGGAGGAGCACGAGCAGGAGGAATCCCGCCTTGTTGAAACATGTCTCAGAACCCTTTTGTCGTCTTCAGCGCGTCGTTGCCGCTCCGTGCTTTCTGTCCTGAGGCTTAAGGTAGGATACTTATACTGATGCTCATCCCCCCGACTTCGCGCCTCGCGCCTCGCGCCTCGCAATGCGCGGTCATCTTCGCGCTCCTGTCGAGGCGCCCCCCAAAGTTCCTTGGACGGAAGCGGTTCCCTGGCCCAGCCCGCGATTCGCGAAGCGCGGTGATATTCGTGCCCCTCGGGGGGGGGGGGGGGATAGGAAGGAACTCGAAACTGACATCGCATTCCCTTCTATGACCGCTGAACGTGTTTTACACCGCATCGGGGCGCCCCTTAGAAATAACCCAGCCCAGGCCGCGATTCGCGACGCGCGCGACCCATGCGCGGCGGCCATTGAATGGGAATGCGAAGTCTACACCGCCATCTTGCATTAGAAACGTGTCCAGGCCTCAAATATGAGGCGACACGGATCGAGGCAGCCCGCGAAAATCAGCGAGCCAGGCATTCGCCCCACCTGGCCGCCTGTTGCCCCTTCGGCCCTGGGCTGAAGGGGCTGCAGCGCCGAAGCGCGGTCGCAAGCGCAGGGGGGAGGGGGGAGGGGGGCAGGGGGAGGAGGCGGAGGAGGAGAAGAACGAGAAGGAGGACGAGGAGGAGGAGGAGGAGAAGGAGGAGGAGGAGAGCGGGGGAGGAGGAGAAGGAGGAGGAGGAGGAGGGAGGAGAGGAGGACGAAGCCAATTTCCTCATCTTTCTCCTCCTCCTCCTGCTCCCCCTCCTGCTCCCCATCTTGCTCCCGCTCCTGCTCCTCTTTCTCGTTCTCCTCCTCCTCCTCTGTGGCATCTTCCTCTCTGTGGCGGCCCTCTTCCTGTGCGCTCTTCTCTCTCACTTCCCCCCCTGCCCGCGGAGTCCTGAGGCCATCGTATAACCATATTTCCTGAAAACCATGCGCTCGAATCTCGCCCTGTGCGTAGTGGCTGCAATGTTTGCGATGAGCCCGTTAACAGTTTCATCCCAATATGTATTATAGTATCTTGGGTTGCCCTTTCTACAAATATGGGCTGCAAGATGTCGAAACAGATGGTGTTTCGGGTACATCGTAACGCCAGATTGCTCAGCCAATCCCACGTGAAGATCTGCCAGCGATTGAAGTTCTTTGCAAACATCAATCGGTATATTTCGCGGTTGGCTGTCTAGGATATTGCTGAATGAAGTGAGGGCCCGACCCGCAGCCAGTAGAACATCTGCGTTGATGTTAGCTGGCAGCTTATGCTTGTAGGTTGGGAGTAAGTGTTCGACCACAAAGTATGTGAACCATTTAGTCTCTTGGCCTTTCAAGTGGAGGGATGGTGCTGTCTTGGTTCCAATCGTCCCAGGCGTCCAGTCACCAACTCGAGTAAGAGGTTTCTTCCGTCGTTTTTCCTCTGAGTCGCACCATCGGTCCAACTCTACCCGCATGTTTTGAAGCCCAAGTCGCACGCGATCGTCCTGGAGGCTTGCTCTGATATTATAAATGTCAGCTTCGATAAGCAACCAAACAACGAAAGCAGCATGCGCCTGAAACACACCGAGGTGCATGCAATGCAATTCGTCTATACTAAACGAATGAAGGCCAATGCCAAGGGACTCGTCCAAAATCGGGTTTCGGTGGTATACCCGCTCGCGTTTGCTCGGCCTCCAAAATTTCACAATTGCTGGAAATGTCGTGATACGGTCGAAGTCGTTAGTGTCGAGCAACGTTGGCGTAGGCTCAAGACGGTCTCCTTTGAGAAGTTGTGGTTGGTTCGGGAGGGCAACGTTCATTGCCATCCCGCGCCCTCTGTAAGTGCTCTTCCGTTCGAGCCTAAACCTTATTATGCGGTGTGCCTCTTCATTCTCGATCACGATGTACATTTCGTGCGCCGAGCAATCAGTATCGTAATTCTCATGGGGGTGCTCTGACAGCGGCTGCGCAATATCGTGATTGAAAATGCCCAATTTTGATTGTCTGCACATGAGGCAAGGTGCAATATTATGGTTGTGACTCGGAAACCCCATGCCAGTGGACATCTCTGGCCAGTCGGCTTTGATGTCGATCAGAATAGCTTTAAACCCCAGGGCCTGCCCCTAGTCCCTGCCCACTCCCTTCATCTCTTCGCTGCTGCTGCCGATGCCTCTGTCACTAAAATGCAAGCTCAGGCCAATGAACGCCTTGTTGCTCCCTGGTGCCGTTTGGGCTTTCCTGAAACAGAAAAATGAAGTGGCATCCAAGGGCCCCAGGGATGAATTTTATCAAAGGATGCGTTTTCGGCTGGGCTTCGAACGCCATTCACCCCTGACGCATCAAGAACTGGCTCCTCCTTCCCTCGTGCGCGCGCCCCGAATGACCTTACCGGAGCGAGCCAATGAGCGCGGCTCTGCTTATTCATGAGTGTGGCTTTGCCAAACATGCCGCAAGACCCTCATCTTTCCGTGCGTGCGTTTGCTCTACTCTTCTGACACATACCAATGCTAATGCTGGCAGACATCCCTGCCACAGAGAACCCAATCCTATAGATTAAGAGATGGACTGGCAGACACAATGGGGCCGAAGGAAGGGGGAATGGAAAGGGAGGAGGACTGACGGGTCAGAGGGAGGAGGGAGAAGAAATGCGAGAAAAAATGAATGGACAGAGGAGAGGAGGAGGAGGATGAGAACGAGGAGGAGGAGGACAAGGAGGAGGACGGGGAGGAGCAGCAGCAGCAGTAGCAGGAGCAGCAGCAGCAGCAGGAGCAGGAGGAGCAGGAGGAGGAGGAGGAGGAGAGGGAGGAGGCCGAGGAGGAGGCCGAGGAGGAAGAGGAGGAGGAGGAGGAGAGGAGGAATGAGGAGGAGGAGGAGGAGGGATCAATATCCCCTTCTTCTCGTACTCCTGCTGCTCCTCCTCCTCCTCCTTCTCCTCCTCCTCCTCCTCTTCCTCCTCCTCCTCCTCATCCTCCTCCTCCTCTCCCCCCTCCGCCGTGATCATCCCACCCACGCCGCCGTTTGTGTGCATGTATGTGTGCATATAGTACGCATAGTATTCATGTGGGTGCACACGTCGGGCCTTTGTGTTGTAACACTGCAATAGGATTGGGACTCTCTGTGCCCTGCGCCCCCCCCCGTGAACCTGACCAGCCAATGTAGCTCGGTCTGCATCAGTGTCTCGCCACGGAGTATTATCGTGGCGACGCTCGGGGTACAAACCAGAGGCCATGCATCGCAATGACCAATGAATAAACACATATACGGGGTAGGTACTGCACCAGCCGCTGCAACCGCAACAGCAAAGGTCAGCTTTTCGAAGACACGCAATCAAGTGGCGTCTCCCTGTGGTGAGCAAGTGCGTAAATATTCCCAAAAAGGAGTCGTTGTTGGTGTACGGGGTTTTGTCAAGGTATAGCGCAACAGGTAGCA